GCTGGATCCTGCTCCCACATAACTTCAATAAGTTTCATAAGAGGCACATACTCATATTTTGAATGTGGCACATACTCATAAAACAATTTAATCCACAGGATTTACTCCTACAACAAAGTTCAATCAAGGGTCTCTTGAAAATCCAGGGAACAGAGATTTCACAATCAGTGAAAGACGTTTCAGCTAGGACATACCTTTTGAATTCTGCTGCATGCTTCCTCCTTTCTGGGAAAGTCGCTGGGAAGGGAGTCACTCTTCTCCATTGCCCATGGAACTTTAATGAGTATTGCTTTGGTTTATTTCAAGAGAAGCTATTGAAAAGCAAACAAAGTGTCTCACAAGACACTACAGAGAGAAAAATCTGGGCGACACAGAAAAAAATGCTGTGAATTAAAATTTAAAAATGGAAAGAAAAGTATAGGTGAGGTATTTTTCCATATCATTTCTTCCATGATTCTGCTTCTCCATCTGTTTTGTCTTTGATGTCTATGACTTGCCATTCATATGCCGTCCCTATGCTTGGAAATTGCTATCCATGAAGTGAAAGGTGAAGGAAAAGTAATTTAATAATAATAAAAAAAGGTAGAGCGGAGTGAGGAAAAGATGCAGGGGTGCAGGAAGGAAGAGATCTATTGAGTGTAAAGGTATCCAAAGGACGGATGATGGAAACGTGTTCCCCAAGGTCATGGTCTTCAATGGAGCTGCTTGTGTCTTCAAGCTGTTAAAGACAAGTGTAGCAGATGTACAAGAAGAGCCAAACTCCACATGGTACAGTAAGTGCAAAATGCAGAAGCCATCACACCAAGGGTTTCCTTGTCTTCGGATAGAGTCCGCCCACAGTGGTTCTCTAGAAACAGTTCTATCATCAAGTAGACATCCATTGCTTTTTTGTGGTTTTTTTTTTGTATTTTTATTTAAAAAGTATCTTTTTTTTTTCTAATAATATATAGAATATATAAATAATAATAATTAAAAAAAACTATTTGGGTTTTCTTTCATGCTCTCCAACCCATCTGTATTTTTTGTGGTTTGCTGATATATATATTAAAAGACAACAAAATCAACTCTGCTCACTATTAAAAAAAATATTAAATCCACCTTTTATGTTTCCAGAGAGAAAGAGAAGGGAGGGGAGGTGGGAGAAAAACAAACTAAAATGAAAAAAAAAAAAAAAAAAAACAGGAAAATCAAAACCTTCTGTCTCTTCAAAGTAGTTGTCAAGAGCTTTAAGCGCTTGTGCTTTCAGTGTACACCCCACAGGAAAAACAACAACAACAACAAAAACAAAAACAAAATAAAACAAAACAAAAACCAAGGACCTAAAATTAAAAAAAAAAAAAAAAAGAGAAAAAGGTAATAATAATCCTAGTAGTAAAATGGACAGCAAATTGCTCAGAGTTTGTGCGTCTTTTTAATTATTTTAGCAGCCGCCCTTTTTGTCTGCAGAGGGAGAGCTGCCACCACAGCCACCTCCTCGGCTTGAGAGAGGCTCTTCTGCATCGTCCTCGTCAAAGCCGTGAAAGGTCGAGGTGTCGCTTTCTGACGTGGAACCGAACAAGTCCTCCGTAGTGCGTGCTGGCGCTGCTTCGTCCCTCCTGCCTTCTCTTCCCAAATGAGCTGACATGTATGATGAATATATCAGCACATGGGTTAAGCAACAGGCATCATTATCATCATTTTTTTTTAAGCATCATTATTATTAAACAATACAGACTATCGAGCTCAGAGGTGTGTGCTTGTACGTGCCCACACACCTCAACGTCATAACTTGGGAGAACTGCAGTAAGAAAATAAAAAAGGATCAGTTTCTCTTTCAAAGAAAAAAAAAAAATCTACAAATAACACAGGTGCCCATAGCTATGGCAGCGAAAGGGTTAATCATATTTTCCTCTCTTCAAAAGACATTAAAATATTTTCTCGTGATTACTTAGATCAATTTAAAAAGAATTTTAGACCGTGTAAGTAATTAGACACCATTAGAGCTTCTAAGCACAATGACTGTCCTTCAGACTGGCATCAACTGTCACAAATTTACTGCTATAGAAATGTAACCCATTAGATATCTCATCAGCCTCAGGACTTTTATTCCTGTCCTTCACCTGATCCTAAACAGCCTCTTCTATGGAAAAAATGAAATACATTTTGAAAATTAAGTGGAAGTAAACTAAATAAATGCTTTTATTCCGATTTCATGTCATCTCCTTTAAAAATATGCCCCAAACAAACAAACAAACAAACAGACACAGTTCAACAACTAAAACAACTAAGATGAGAAGTGACCTGTCTTGGGGAACACTGAAAAGTTCAAAAGTGTGCATTAATCCAACTTTCAGTATGCAACAGGAAATTCTCCACACAGAACATCAATGTCAACAACAACAACAAGACTCTTGAAAATAGAAGTCAAATACTGGTATCTGTGAAATTGAGGTTTATTTTCTCCCTCAATCAAACACATTATGTGATTAATAGCATAACCTTCAGAATCCCTCTCCAAGAAAGGTAGAGAAAAAGATATTTCTTGTGCCCCAGCAAAACGAAAGGGTCAGTGTGTAGGGGACAACTGATTTATTACTCGGAAACACTAACATGACATTAAGTAACCGACTGTTTGGTCCCCACTCCAGCTACACCAGTCAGCCATATAACTGCGTGGTTAAGTACACTGCATTGCTTGAGAAACGAAGAATTAAACCCTGTTCACAAAAATAAAATGGATATAACAAAATAATTGGTAGATGAACCACCTTACAGGGATGTGGTATTACTCGTTTTGTGAAGGGAAGAAATAACATAATTTCCATGACCTCTCTTTCAGTATAATGAAAATGTTGCCCATTATCAAGAAAGAGAAAGATGGCAGCCACCAAAGAGTTTTCATTGTTTTAGTTTACAGATTAGTGTGTGGTTGTACCTTAATTGCTTCCATCACACATCAGTCACACCATTGCAGACCCTTACGAATGACCCAGGTGGGTCAGAATTTGTACAAGGATAGCATTTAATGGAACTGATTTTGCACAATTTAGGTTACATGCGGATCTACTTGTTCTATCACACTAAGCCATCAAGGGATTTAATGTATTTGTGTTACATTCTGATATAATCACCATAGCAATGTTTAAATAGCAAAAAATATGGATCTGTCTCACTGCGCCGTATCAGGACAATGCTGAAATGAGTTATATAGAACTACAGCAATCAAGGGGAAGAGGAATGCTCTTCCAAGATGGCACCACAGACCACATGAGCTTCCCCCTTTAGTTATTAAGAAGCAAATGCATATACACTAAAAGGTCCATGCCACTGACTATGCAGGATTCATAAGGATGCCCCTGGAGAAAACCAAAGGGGTCACCAGTGGTCCTCTGGTGACCAGTCAGTATCACTTCAGGATATCTTCAGAGGTCACAACAACTGCAGAAGGCAATTTGTCAGTGAGAGCCTAGTCCTGCTCCCACTGAATCTGGTAAGAGGTTCACTATGAATCTCAGCAGGAGTACGAGAAGGCCATTCCTTCATCACGAGAACACTTCACATAGCATTTCAGCATCACGCAACAGACATCTTCCAGTGACCGCAGAACAGAAGCAGCAGTGGCAATACTGAATTTCAAGGTCTCTTTGGTTTTCAAATTTATATTTTATGGTTTTATCACCACTAGTATTACCACTGTCCAGAAATATCACAACTGGAAACTTGACCAAAGCTGGAATATGCAGTTATTAGAGGTCTCCCATTCCCTCTACCGTTGCCACCACCTCCCACACAAACTCTGAATAACTGCTCAGCTGGGACAAAATTAAAAAAAAAAAAAAGAGAGAAAAAGAGAACAAAAGGGAAGAGGGAAGGAAGGAAGGAAGGAAGGAAGGAAGGAAGGAAGGAAGGAAGGAAGGAAGGAAGGAAGGAAGGAAGGAAGGAAGAGAAGGAAAGAAAGAGAAGGAAAAGAAAGAGAAGGAAAAGAAAGAGAAGGAAAAGAAAGAGAAGGAAAAGAAAGAGAAGGAAAGTGAAAGAAGAGAAGAGAAGAGAAGAGAAGAGAAGAGAAGAGAAGAGAAGAGAAGAGAAGAGAAGAGAAGAGAAGAGAAGAGAAGAGAAGAGAAGAGAAGAGAAGAGAAGAGAAGAGAAGAGAAGAGAAGAGAGAGAAGAGAAGAGAAGAGAAGAGAAGAGAAGAGAAGAGAAGAGAAGAGAAGAGAAGAGAAAGAAAAGAAAAGAAAAGAAAAGAAAAGAAAAGAAAAGAAAGAAAAAGAAAAGAAAGAAAAAGAAAAGAAAAGAAAAAGAAAATAAAAGAAAAGAAAAGAAAAAAGAAAAGAAAAGAAAAGAAAAGAAAAGAAAAAAAGAAAGAAAGAAAAGAAAAGAAAAGAAAAGAAAAGAAAGAAAAGAAACTGTCCAGAAATAAAGACAACTAGAAATGGGAAAGACACAACTGCCTACATTTAAAAAGAGAGAAGAGGAGAAAATGGAGAAATAAAAACCTCTTTAAACAAAATTAATGATAGTCATCTTGTAAGAGGATAATTCCTGACAGCTACCCCCATCTCTACCCTGTAATTTCCTCCCTCTTTCTTTTTTGGATGAAGAAATGCATGAAATGTGTAATCAATGGAAATGCTTGTCATGCAACTTTCATAAATCTTGTAAGTAATTTATAGTTGTAATTGCAGCATTTGAAGACAGAGCCCATTCTTTAACATTGTCATAGGATTTTCTCCTTCCATTTAAAGAACAACTAGTACATGTACCAATGTTCACAGAAGCCAATAAATACATTAAAACTTCATTATTTCGTAAGAACCCCATTAGCTTAAAATTGTGAATCCAACAATGGGTTTTACAACAGAAAATTTCCCAATCATCCATTCCCACAAATACAGGCAAGAGGTAAGACCTCACGTCCTATTCCCTCCCAAATGTGCTGCCTTTCTTCAAAATTTTCAGGAGGAGAAAAAATGAAAACACACAAATGCTTTTGTACAAGAAAGTTGCAAGAAGGAGTCACCTACCAGAGCGCCCACAGTCTGAGCACGATACAAGTTCCTCAGGCCGGCCACTTTTTTTGTTCATATTGGAGCCTCCGAGGCAGAAGTCACAGTAGTTATTGGGAATGATGACCCCGTCTGGTCCTTTCTGGGCTGTAGTCGGGTTAGAAATCAGATTTACTTAAAGAGAATTCAGTTCGGATATTTCCCACTTCTCTTTGATATAATGCTAACTGGGTGAGTTTGCAGGCCACACAAAATGTTGTCAATTAAAACAAGAATTAGGCTGTATAAATCACCTCCATCTTAAGTACACTGTATGCTGTAACTATTTTGCCTGAAATGCACTTCACCATTTCCCTTACAATGCAGCTGAGCTGGTCCCTCACCAGGACATGCTGCCAGAGATCCCTGTGCAGTTCAGGGAATTCATAATACACACAAGCATATAAACATACCCTAATGCAGAATCAGGCCTAAGCTGTTGGTAAGCCAAGCCTGCTTTTTCAGACAGCAGCCATAAATGTAAACACACAAAGCACAACTTCAGAAAGGAAAAGCATGTTCCCCAAAACTCAGAAACCTACAGCAGGGAGATGGAGGAAGAGGCACCCTCACTGGTTTTATTTCACATATTTTCTAAAAAAGAGGGAGGTTAGGTTCTTACTTTCCACCTAAGAATATTGGAAAGGAGCAGGCACACAGTGGGGCTCAAGTACAAGGGAAGGCTTTTCCTCTAGAAGGGAGAAAAGGACAGAAGTCTTCAGCATCTCTAGTTGAGCAGAACATCACTTTTTTTTTTTTTTTTTTTTTTTTTTTTTTTTTTATCCTCACAACTGCCATTTTCCTCCTTTGCTTTCCAGAGAGAGAAAACTTCTTGTTCCTCCATAGTCTGACCAGGAACCATGAAAGGGTGAGGGAAATGGGGGAAATGGTTGGTCTTGGTTTTTCCTTTTTTAAATTAAAAATAAAAATTCCAACGGTATACCTGGCCTAAGCCTACCCCATGTGGATTGCTACAAACTAGAAAATGAAGACCTTTAAACTGTGTCATCTATATTTAATTATCCTTTTAATGCATATTTTGTAACTTGCAGATTTTTAACAGATGTTTTGACAGCCTTTATTAATGATCTTTTTGTCCACATCCAAATTTCCCCCACAGAACAATGACATTCTAAAGGGCTTCTGGTAGCAGTCCAAGACATACAGTTAAAATTAAAATTTCCTCTGAGTTCCATCGTTTTTTTCTGGTTTGGGTGCATCTAGTTACTCATTCCCTTCCAGCTGTTGATTATTTGAGCTTTTTGAAGATTGGTAGCTGAAAGATTGCAAGTAAGGTGAAATTAAGAAGAAAAATAAATAAATAAATAAATAAATAAATAAATAAATAAATAAATAAATGAATGAACCATAGCACTGCAAATACAGCATTATCTTCCTACATGATCATCAAGTCCCTGATGTATTTACTAAACAATGGGTTTTGCTCTGAAGTGGTGGTCAGCAGATCCTTGGTTCTCCCAAAACCAGCCATAAGCTCTCACTGTTAGGTTAGTATCCTGCCAGTTAGCAGAGAGGCATTTAATACGCGAATGCAAGATAAGCAGAAAAGAACTGTAACCAGGTGGAAGCCTAGCACACAGACTCATTTTAAGAGCTGGAACAAAATGGTCATAAAGTTGTTACTTGTACTTTTTTTATTTTATTTTTTTATAAAAAGCAGATCTCTCTAACATTTATTTTTCCCACTGCAGCCCCACTCTGAAAAAGTTAAGTCATTATTTCTGTATATTTTGCTGCATCTACAAACAGGTCAAATGCAATACAAGCTCAGCAAGCCCAGCATCCAGTGATTTTTTGTTCCTTATTACTTCACTTTTCATGCGAGTTTCTTAAAGCGCCTTGCAGCTACTAGGAACCTAATATTAACCCTCAGTGAAGTCCAAAGTGCTTTTTGCCATCTAGCCAAAGTATTACTGGGCCCTAATTAAATTTCATGGTGAAGAGGCACCATGGCATTTTACAGCTGGAAAGACTTGGTAGTAGGGTCATTAGCTGGCTTCCTCAAAAGCACAAGAATTCTGTGGTGAGGCCACAAATAAAAACAACCATTCAAGGTGCCTGCCAGTGTACTAAGCAAAGAGCTCTACTTCTACATGGTGTAGGATCACATAACTGGTTTAATGTGCAACATATACTGACTTAAATTTTCCAACGCATCTCACGAACCTAAGACCCACTAACAGTCGAACTGGAAATGGGACAGGGGAACTCATGAAAACACGTACACCGACCAATTCATCTACGGCGTGTGGCACATGTGGAGGGTTTTCATCGGCTGTGATGAAGCTGAAGGGATTCTCCTAGACTACTGGCAAGGGGAAAAGCACACTTTTAATCACTTCCTTTTACTTCTTTTTTTTTTTTTTTTGTCTTCCACTTTCATTGAATTTTTAATGTCAGTGTCTATGTGCTCATCTATTGCTTGTCACTCATAATATGCACCTGGCTCAGCTGACTCGGGTAAGAGATGTCAGTCCTGAAAAGCTGTACACAGATTAAAATTCCTGAAGTTACACCAATGTTGTCTTTAGTGATGCATCTTCACAGCCAAATACACCAGTACAGGCAATGTCTCCAATGCTTTTTCATTCTAATGGGTACAAAAACTGGAATGAAGCCTAACTCAGGCTTATTTTCTTGATCAGTACTGTACAGCGAATTAAGCCTCAGGCTAAATAACAGAAGGCTTAAGAATAAAAAGATTTGCAGATGACAGTAAGCAGAGTTCTTACTTTCAAAGGATTTTTTGTGTATGTCCTCAGTTTTTACTTCAATTTTCCTGTAGTTCACAAATGTTGAGGAAATTAAGAAACAAAGCAAAGACAGAAAGATACAATGTACAATATTCATGAGAAGCATATCATACACCAAAACCCAACCCTAATCCCTCCCCTTTATCAATAAAAGTATTTACAAAACTATGGGAATGGATGCACAAGTGAAAGCAAGTAAATTACTAGGGACTAATGTGTTGCTGCTTTTCATCTGAGACAGAATAATTAACTAGGTATACACTTTTTGCACACATTAATCACAAAGTAGAAAGTGCTTGCTTAAGCCACATGATAGCTCAGCTAATGAGAAGTAACTCGCCAAGGTGTGCTAGCTAAATCATTTTGCTCAGGTGATTACAACCAAGGATTTTGTCTGAAAAACGTTCACCCAGAATCAGAAAGAGTTTTAAAGCAAAGCCGTGAAAAACAGCTATGGTCTTGTCCTAGCTTACACAAAACTCCTCTGATTTTCTTTTACATTACAAACTGCTACAACAGATCAAAAGCTTTGTGGAGCTTTGAGGAGTACTGCCTAAGCTAAGGTGTTCTCATAGGGGGGATACTTAAATCGCCGCCTCTTGCAGTTTCAACTTGGTCTCACTTTCTTGTTTCATCAAAGGCCCTGTCTTCATCTACATCTGCCCCCAAATAAGCAATGTATACTGGCTTTAAAAATCCTTTTAAAAATGCATTGAGTAAGATCTACACTGGTCAGATGATGGTTTAACCGTACCTGAAAGCTGATTCATGTGAAGATAGGATGCAGACTGAAAACGAAGTCAGTATTCCCAAATAACTTTGGCTTGCTCTTATTCTGAAATAGATTTTTTCTTCTCAGCCTAATCAAGTGAATTTCAAACTATATAATGCTAAGCTGAATAAATTCCTTATTAAAAAATAGTAACATCATTCACAGGAGTTTTCCTACAAAACAAGTATTGAAAATTAAATTAATGTTGTAGTATATTACAAAGTAACTTTCTTCTGTAGACAAAACCTTAAATGCTAAACAAATTGACTGCGTTTAAATATTTAAAATAAGTTCTATGCCTTCTTGATTTTGCAGGTAGGTGGTCTAGCCAGAATTCTAGCTTCCTTTCTTCCCTCTCAAAGTAATCAAAGAATCTGGAAATTATTTTCTTGTTTTAATGATAAAAGAAAGCTGCTTCTAGTGAAATAACATCAAGAAATAAGGATTTTTATTTTCTCCTGGAGCCACGTGACACAATAAGAATCTCAGGTTCTAGCTCTCATGGCTGCAGAGAATAAATAACCTGAACGGAAGGCAATTCTTGTCCTTGAAAGGAAGGCAAAAGAAGCAATTCTTGTCCCTTTTTTTAACCCAAAAGTTCAGAACACAAATATTTTCAAAAGGTTTCCTTCTAAATGACACTCTTAAAAACAAACAAAAGCAAAATAAGTAGAACACTGTATTTTCTCAATTTTCTGATTTCCAGCTGAAGTTATTTTAATGATTTGGATAATGATCTTTAAACACTTGTAGGTGGAAACAGCACTGAAAAGAAAAACTGGTTTCTCTGCTCCTTAGTACCGAATCACAGCCACATACATTTCTTCAGCCTGTGGGTACAGCAGCTTGATACTGAGCCATGGTTTAAGTGGTATATCCAGGTTTGCTAGCACTTCATCTCTATTTTGTATCTTGTCCACAGGACTGGAAAGGCAGTGGAGGAGGAGGACTAGAGCGTGTGCCTCAGGGTCAGGGTGGGGGCTTGTGCCTTGTTTATTTAAATGATTACAGTGAATTGGCTACAATCAGACATAAATGCGTTCCCAAAGGGATTTTTCCTAACACATTTTGTCCAGCTCTTACCTTTTTCTTCTGGGCTTGATCCAAAACCAATAAAGTCCATTGGAGGTTTTCAATTCAATTTGAAAGGCTTTGAATGAGGTCATTTACTCTGTTTGCAACAGAAATTTCCAGAGCACAATAGAGACCACGGGAACCTGCGTGCAGGCCTGAATCAAGTCAATGTGCTTTGCAACAGAGAAAAAGGGGTGGATTTGCTTTTTTTTTTTTTTTTTTTTTCTTTTTAAATCTACAAGACCCTTTGTCTGCAGCTGGGGCCCAGTTTTCCTTTCAGACACCTCCCTTCTTGAAGTGCAAGCCCAGCGCTCTGCCGCATGTGGCCTGCCTTGGCGGAGCCCCTCAAAGGACCCACCTCATCCCAAGGCACTGCCATCCCGTCCCAACCCACCACCCAAGTGCCCCCATGTGCCTGGGGCTGCCTTCCCCCCCTGTGCTGACAGAGCTCATCCCTCGCAGTTCTGGCCCATTTCCATGGTGACCGG